CAGTCGAACGCCAGTCTTAGAAAAACTCTCCGATGACGCCTCTAGACTGAAAATAAAAATGAGCACACTTGCGTTATGTGTAGGTTGGTATGTCGTGGCGTGAATTTTTCAAATCCACCCACGTTACGATTATTTTTTCAACTCGTCCCATTGCCTTCGTCACGTTGTAAAACGAAGCACGCAACAGCAGGAAGATGTTCATCCTTCGAATGAATTAACAGAATCTTCAAATAACACTTTCAATTTATCAATTATTTTTCATTCGTGCCTCTGGTGATTTCTCGATACTCGATTCGAACTACTTAAGTGTATTTTATGAACGATTGCAAAGTAATATTATTCGTGGAAATAAACATGGATACGTGCAATAATCACGAAACGAAAAATATAATCGTCCATCCGTTTCCAATGGATTTTTTGTTGTTTCAATTTTAATTATCATTTTCGTAATGGGGGGCCTTGGTATGAAATTAGAAGCGGAGAGACATCTCGTAGACGCATCTGACGCGATCTACTTCACCGTTCTTAAAATATCTCGGTTGAACTAGGCCGTAATTACATACATTTCTTATCGTGAATCACGAAATAAGAGATCCTTTTTTTTTTTTTTTCTTTTCAGAGAAGAAGATTCTTAAATATATAATATATAATTTGAAATATCGTTCTTTATACGAAGATAATATTATATGTTTAAAATAATTTAATTATAGAATATCGTGTATATATATATATTAAGTGATTTTCAATTATTTCTTATAAAAGAATTTAATGATAAATTTAATTTCAATACTTTTAATGTATTTAACATGGATGACTTAATTAATATATCGATATCGTCCAATATTACGTTCAATTTTTTCTTTTCTTTTTCTTTTTTTTTTTTTTTGGTACCCCATTTCCTCCTGATGATCCATTGTAAAGAGAGTGAATGGCCAAAGAGACTAAGAGCTCGTCGTGGTTGTTAAAAGTCTTTTGTAGGGTACGAAACTTGTTAGAAGCGGTTCATAATGCTTTAATGGACCGCTGACAGCGTCCTTAATTAGCGAGTGGACGAAAAAGTCAATAATAATACTAACTAATCTTCCGTAAAAATGGCAGGTTATGAAAATACGTTGTTATCTTTCCCCACTTTTATTTTCTATATTTTATTTTATTTTATTCCATATCCCCTTTCTTTCTTTCCCCAAGATGAAAGGAAAATTATTTCAAATAATTTAAGACGGACGGATCTTTATATTTAACCATTCTTCCATTCTACGCCCATTCCATTCTCTCCCCCTTTTCAAAACCCAATGGAATTTTTTCAATGGTTAACCATTATATTTTAGTTTCAATTTAATGTTCGAAAAATCATTCTTTATTGTAAACACTCATCCAAGAAGCGTACTGTCACGTTAGCACATTGTAAAACTTGGAGTAACGACGCCGTGGCAAATAGCCGGAAATCGAGGAGGAGAACATACCGTAAAAACAAAGAGGCGATGACGCGGCGCAAGCGAAACGCGTTAATTCTTCAGCTTGCACGATCGAAGTATAATTCTTCGCGAGTTGGAATCGAGATGAGTCAGCGAGGGAGAGCGCATGCTGACGCTCAAACACGCGTTATTTCTTTTTTTCCTCTCTCTCTCTCTCTCTCTTTCCTCTCCCCTTTATACTCCTTATATTCCATCTATGGAAAATACTTTTTTTTTTCGAAAGATATTTTTATACACACGATTGAATTATCACTTTGGATTATATATATATATTCGAAAAAAGATAAAATCGTATCGAGATTGATATACGATATAGATGGAAGTGGAGATGAGGAAATTAGTTGAAGAATTTTTAATAGCAAAGATTTTTAGATTTTTTTTTTAGAAATATTGTTATTATAAAATATAAAATATTCCAAAGATCGAAAGAATATATTTTTTTTTTCAATGGTGTGTATATATAATCAAGCATACGTGGGATACGAAAGATTTCACGATACAATAATTCTAAACTTTCTCACAATTTAATTCACAATATCGTAACTCTGTGTTGAATATATATATATATATTAAATTTACACGTTTCTGATGATATCTGATAAGAAAAATTGGCAACAAGAGATAATTCTCTCGATGTAATACGAAGAGAAATTTTCCTTTCGGCTGATTTGATCGAAGATCGATCGTTTTATAAATCGTTCTCCAGGAAATAATACTCGAGTTAAATTATGTAATGGAAGCACGCCGTGAGAGGAATCCTCTCGAAGGATCTTAACACGTAGCAAGCGAGCAAAGGAAGGAATCTGTAGCTTGTTCAGCAATGATTAAAGAGGCTAAAGAATCAACTTACTTCTGACATAGCGTCACGCTACGGGGAATATAATAACGTGTTCCTTAAATATAATGTAATCCTTGCGAACCTTTGGAAGATAAGTTTCAAAAGCGTGGAGAACTCGCTTCCCAATTTTACAATTCGAAGAAATATAATTATAATTGATTTGTGCTTCGCACAATACGAAATAATGCAATGGAATATTTCTAAAAAACAATTCGATAATATTTGAAAAATTATATTAAAATTATCTTAAATTTATAAAGTTATATAAAATTAATCTTAAATTTGAAGTTTTCAATTATTTGATTGTTCAATTGATGTTATAAGATTTGAAAGGGATAAAAATTAAATAAATCTGATGTAAGAAAATTTAATCTTAAATTTCAAGTTTTCAATTATTTGATTGATGCTCAGTTGATGTTATAAGATTTGAAAGGGATAAAAATCAAATAAATTTGATGTAAGAAAATTTAAGTAGAATTTAAAAATGTATCTAAGAAAGGATGTTAAAATATCTCAATAAAATTAATTTTTTCGCTTTCGATCGAAAATCAAATGATAATAATAATTGCGTTTGTAAAAAAAAAAAATATCTCTCGAAATCAGATTCACGTAATTCAAAGCTTATACGGATACGGTTTATACTTATAACACGATATTTTGATTCAAACTCTGCATCTCTTTAATTTAAACACCTTTTTTCCACCACTTATCTTACTTTTCCAAGTATTTAACAAGAAACAAGATCTTAAACATCAGATTTCTTTACACGTCTCTATTGTTCCCGTTTCAGAGAAGTGGCGTTGCGTGAATTAGCAAGAAGAGGGTGGCAAGGTTGAGCGAAGGTGCTCGACTCGAATATTCTTCTAGTGGCTCATCGATTGCGGTTTCCTTGATTTCCTGACGGTGAGTTTCTTTAACGATAATTTTAAACGTATTAAAATTTTCGCCTTTCCAATTTAACTTCAATCTTTGATTAACCTTAGGTAATTAAAGAAAGAAATAAAAAATTATATGTAAAACGAAAAATATTATTTTATAGATCGATATGCCAGCTTTAATCTCTTAAAATTCGAAATCGTATTAAAAGAAAGAGATATTTGCATTTCTGTATTCGATATTAAATCTTTTAAAAATTGAATAAGAAAAATGATTTATCCCATCCACGATACCCTTATATTCGTTCGCAATTTTGTCTCGATCGTTTAATAGCTCTTGTTATTATATAATTATAAAATATTAATTATTAATATTATAATTATTTATTATTTTATAATTATAAAATCTTAAAATATTCCAAAGATTGAAAGAATATATTTTATTATTAAATTAAAGACTTCAATGATGTATATATAATCAAGTATATCTTCACGTGAGATACGTGAAAGATTTCACGATACAATAATTCTAAAAGAAAAAAAAAAGAAAAAAGAATCCAAAAACACTCGCATTTCGAACGTTTGATCGTAAAAAAAAAACACACACATGAAAAAAAAAAGAAAGGAAGAAACGACAAATTTTTCACCAGCCACGTTAAACGTGTAAACTAACAAACTACCCCCTTTCCACCCCCCTTTCCCGGAACCATAATCCACCCATAAAATCCACCGTGCGTCAATATTTGCAAAGAGGCTGGCGAGTGGCCGGCACAATGAACTCTCTGCAAAGCGTGGAGACGGCCTGGGTATTTATGTTAATTAGAAGCCGAGGCGGCGGGGGTTGAAACGCTCGAAAATGCGATTGGCCAAGCGCTTCTCTTCTGCGAAAATTAATCCAAATCTCCCTCCTTCCGTTCGAATTCTGGATTCCATGTGAACCATAGATAACGAGGCGGAATTAATAGCGGAACTATCGGCTTTGGCCAATTTTCACGTGTCCTTTTATCAAGGTGCGCCTTGATCCTCTCCTCCCTTGTTGTTGTCGACGCCACGTTCTTGCAAAGATTAATCGTGTTACTCGCGTTTTTTACCTTTTTTTAATCGCCTTGTGGGGAATGGAAGGATGGTCGAAGGATTTTTCAGGGTTCGATAATGAAATTTTGTGAAGGAAAAATTCGGATCCTTTGGAGCAATTTGGAGAAAAGAATTGTTAATTGTAAGAGAATTTCGAATTTCGTTTTTTTTTTTTTTCATAAAAGAGAAATAGAAATCTTAGGAGACTCCATTATTAATGTCGTAAATATCGTGAGAAGTATTTTGAAAGGTGAAAAAAAAAAGTGATCAAATATTGCAAAAGTGATCGGAATCGATATATCTCTTCCATTCATTCATCCACTGCTACCTTTCTCTCGCAGTTGTAACTCATCTCTACGGATATATCACGATAACAGCGCAATATCTTGGCGTAAAAATTACTTCCTCTAGCACTTGGCGAGTGCAATTTATTTCAGCGACACCGGCGGATAGAGAAAAAAAAAAAAAAAAAGAA